CATATACACATACACACGTACATAAGTCTATATTTATTTATTTATTTATTTTCTCTTTAATGGTGAGAACACTATATTTACACTTCATAATCATAATAGGCCTAGGACTACATCTCTCATACTGTAATAATTTTTTTTTTTTATATATTTAAAACATATACCTTTGGCAGATTCTTTTTATATACCAAAATTAAAATTCCTTAACAATTAGAGTAGGCCTAACGTTTGAATATCTTGCACGTTATATTTGAATACAATCCATGGATTTATACAAACTGGTTTGTTCAATTCGCTTAATATTTTAATGTAATAAATAGAATATGTTGCAATTGAATACAATGTATTTTTAATTCTGGAACCACAGCCTAAAAGAAGTTCTTTAAACGAACTGCTACGGTTATCCATCCTTTTGAATAAAAGATCTATATTTTTCCATAGTATTTTATTACGTTTGCATTCCAAAAACATGTGTTTTTCATCATAAATTTCATCGCAAACGTTACATTTGTTACTACTTTTAAGTTTCCAATTGAATAATTGTAGGTTTGTAGGAACAATTTTGTTTAGTAATTTATAATTTAACTGTGCATATTTTCTGTTTTTTTCGTTTTTTACTTTTCTTATCCAAACATCACTCCAAATTATTTCTTCGTTGAAAAACGTGTCCCATTTGCGTGTAGATTAAGATGGAATTGATTTTTCCTTAATAAAGCTTGCATAAATAGATTTTGTTTTAGACTTAACTATATTATTTATTATGTTATATTCGTTCGTAGCCATTTGCTCATCACGGTTATGATTTTTAAGCCTAATGTTTTCTTGCGTCATACCGGTGAGTAGGATGCCCTGTAAGGTCATACGCCCCGAAATCTTCCTACAGGAAAAACATTACCCATCCCCTCCCCGGGGACTAAGTACCCCCCCCCCCCCCCACAGCCCTTGGAGACCAAGTCAACTATCCAGGGATCTCCTGTGAACATTTTGCTAATAACAAAACAAAAATAACAAAAGCATGCTGTGATCCAAGTTTTCTATGTACGGGCACTGTTACTCCGATATGTAATCCTAATTTTAGATTTAGTACCGGGATAGTGTCTGGTGAGAGCAAATATTTTAATATATTAATTTAGTTAAAGTACGATATATTCATACGATACTGTACGATATTGTACTACTAATAAAGTAGCTATATTTGTATCTGTTATAATGATACATAGTTAATCAATATTCCAGACCCGTAACCTAGACTCAGAAAAACAATGGTATCCGACAGGGTACTATGGATTATTTCAGTAAGATAGCAATGAATTGAAAATAATTCGCTTTTATTAATGACATTTTTTTCTGTCCCCGAATTCCAAAAATATAAGGATAGTGTTCGGCGGTGGATGGTTTTACTATGGATTACTAGCCTATGGAATTATTTTATAAACTCATGTTTAAAGGTTTGTTAGCCTGATCAGTCTCGGCCAATTTATATGCAAGGGCCCCGACTGTATTCTCGAATCAGGTTCCTGGGAACTTATAGTTACGACACTGTCTAGAGGTGCCACATTTCAAAATTTGCTCACATCAACTCCAGCCCCAACTATGTTGGTATAAACTGTGTAAAATGTACAGGATATGGCAGTCCCCTATCCAGGTTGTGGGGGGGGGGGTTATAGTTCGGGTGAACCCCCCTTTTGTAGCAAACCCCGCTCTTTTCTGGCGAAAACCCCTCTTTAAATTTCCCAAATAAGTCCTCCAATCCAGCTAATGCACTGCAGACCCAGACACAGACATTTTCAAACATATTTGCTTTTATAGCCTTATTTAGACCCATAAAGCACAAAAATCCTCTTGCTTTGGGGGTTTCGCCGAATCCACCTGGGCTTCGACTGTGGACGCACGCCCAGAAACACCCCCACCCCTTTTTGGAAGAACCTGGCTACGGGCCTGTGAGGAGGGGTAAAGGGTCTACATATTTTCCCAGCTGATATTTCGTTGATATCGGTAGCGGGTCTGCAGTTTAACAACCAAATGTGTTACTTGTATATTGTGTGAAATGGGAGCTGCCTTTCGTTTGTCGTCCTTTCTACGCTGAACGACGTTATTACATCACCCGTTACGTTCATCGTGTATGTTGAAGAATTAAAAGTTACATAACAGCCTATATACTGATTACATTGGTAGTCGTTTCCTTTAAAAAAAAAGTCGATCCTACAATCATCAACATCATAATTATCAACACCATCATCATCAACATCATCACCACCTATATCATTATCATCATCATCATCATCATCATCACGTGACCATCATCATCATCTCCACCACAACCGTCTTCATTATCATCATCATCAACAATAATCAACATCATCATTATCATCAACAATAATCAACATCATCATTATCATCATTGCCATCATCCCCACCACTACCATCGTCATCATTACCATCCGTCATCATAATTATAAAACAAGTCATCAATATCGTCAACATCATCATTACCACCACTGCCATCATCATCATCAATGTCATCATAACCACTACCACCATCGTCATAATCATCATCAAATGTCATCATAACCACCACCACTATCATCATTATCAATATATCACCTTCCGAATCACCAAAGTGATTAATGCATTGTTTTGATACCTCACTAGGTGGCGTTTTAAATATAAACAATACTGTATGTGGAGTTGAAAGACTACGAAGGAGACTTTACAATTAGGCCTAAACATATGTGAGTACAGTACATTTTTGCATCCTTAATTCAATAGTTAAAAGGGAAATTTGTCTTCATCATACTATGGTTATTATTTTGACTAAGTTTGTTAGGCATCGAAGGCATTGACTATTTCCTCGACAGAGGCATGCATTTTCATGGCTGCATTCTATTCAGCAACACACATTCCAAGTGACTTGCTAAAACCATTATAATTCCTGAAACTGGCTGTTATTTACAGCTTTGGTGCTTGTTAACTTCCGTTCGTTGTTTATACTGTATATTCGTATCTGTTTTTTTTAAATTGACATATTTATTACCAAGAATCTTGTCATTATCTGGTGCACAAATTTTAATCATAATAATCGAAATTAGTTATATTAAAAATATTTCCATATTATTATTTTTAAAGTACAAGAAAGTAATCGAGGTAGGCCCAAATGACACGTCTATCAATTGATATTAATATCGTTATGGATATGTACCTCCATGATGTCTATATAAAATAGGCCTAAAGCTACCAGTGGCGGATCCAGGAATTCAAAATAGAGAGGCGACCCAGGTAGGGATTTCACAAATGGATTTATGATTATATAGCGCCTCTATACATCCATGCTCTAGGTGGCCGGAAATAACTTAAATTTGAATACAATTTTCTTTTTTTCTCAAATGTTTTATAATTTTAAATAATTTACGGTGACCGATTGCACACCCCACCCCATTGAATCCGCCACTGGCTACAGCTGCCAAATTGTATTTATTCGAAAATAGAGAGCAGTTTACCATCTTATATTATTAGTAATAATAATAATAATAAATTTTAAAGCACCGGTATACATTTAAGAGAAATCGCTCATGGTATCTCAAAAAATAAGTCCGAAATATGTAAAAAAAAAAAAGAAAATTAAGGAAACCAGAAAAAATATTTTTGTCAAAAGCAAGTAGCCTTGCTCATGTAGCCCGACTAACCATGACTTATAAACTAACATCGACCCTCATCGTCCGACTCGACGACTAAAAAATGCCAATCCAAACAAATTCATTTTTATAGCCAATCCAATTGTGGTTAAAAAGCACATGGGGCGCGATCCTAAGGCGTAAAATATCTCCCCATGAACCCCCATGGATTTTATTTAAGGATCCTGACCGAGTCTCTCTAGGCAGCCCCTTGTTTCAGACCCCGGTTAGTGTTGTTGGATCCCTGTCGGCATGTTTACATTTTTGCTGATTTACCGACATTTTACTACAAAAATCCTCAAATTGACACTAAGCCTACTCCCAGCCATTTTTTAAAAGTTAAAAGTGTCTATGTATTATAAAGAATATATTAAAGGTATTGCTGAAAGGAAAAAATGTTGTCATACAGATATTTAATTGTAATCTAATAACTTACTTAAATATAAATATTCAATCATGGAATTATTTTTTTTATCTTTCAGCTCAGGACAGACAGTAGGCCTACATCGCGCCCCATCGGAAATGGGCTGGACTTTGGCCTAATGGTATTGCTGAGAGGAAAGATATTGTCACACAGATATTTAATTGTAAGTTAATAACTTACTTAATATACATATTAAATTATGGAATTA